TCAGCATCAGCAATCGCATCAGCATCAGCATCAGCATTCATCATCATCATCAGCATCAGCATCATCATCATCATCATCATCATCATCATCATCATCATCATCATCATCATCATCATCATCATCATCTTCATCATCGTCCGCCTCCTTCTCCCCCTCCTCCTCCTCCTCTTCCTTCGCCTCCTCCTCCTCCTCCTCCTCCTCGTCCCCCTCTTCCGCCTCCTCCTCCTTCTCCTCCTTCTCCTCCTCCTCCTCCTCCTCCTCCGTCCCCTCCTCCTCCATTCCTCTTCCTTATGAATAACTTCTCCCTGCCGCACTCTGAGGCCAGTATTTAGGGCGGGCTGGGCGTTTCGCCTGAGACTTCCTCACTACCATGACTCTGAAGCTTGACAAATGGCAACAGTCTCGCAGGTGGAGGGCGGGTGGTTTTCAAAATGTGGCTCTCGCCTTAGCACCGCGCACATTCGCTTTAAACAGGTTACAAGACTTTCACAGATTCTCATCCTCATCGGACCAGAAATGGCGTTTTGAACGATTCAAGATTATGCGGGCGCAACAGTTATGTTGATTCGCGGTGTCAAAGTCCCCAAATTGGCGTGCTGGCACGATTCCAGATCTTCAGGACGCAGCAGTCAGGTTGAACCGTGGCGTTGAAATCCCGAGAACAATGTTCTGGCATGCTTCAAGGTCTTCAAACGGTTGTCTTCCAACGAGGCAAATCCCTAAATGGAAATGCGCCGTTGAAGGGGCCTATGAAGAAGGAGCTTGGAGGGAGGGTTTGTTCCAACATCGTCGATGGCTCTGGGGCTTATGCTGGTCCTCCTCCTCCTTCTCCTCCTTCTCCTCCTCCTCCTCCCTCCTCCTCCCTCCTCCTCCTCCTCCTCCTCCTCCTCCTCCTCGTGCGTGCCTTCGTCGGCGTCGTGCGCGCGCTCCTGCTCGAGGCTCCAGGGGGACGCGCCTCGAGGGGCCCTCGCCGAGGAGCGCACACGTCCGAGCGGTGCCGAGCCTTCCGCGCCAGGCCGAGCGGATTCTGGACGAACAACGACACACATGTTCTCAACATGCTCAAACACGGTCAACACATCATAATGGTAATAGTAATAGTAGTAGTAGTAATAATAATATAACAATAATAATAATACTAATACTAATACTAATAATCAATAAATAAATAAATAAATAAATAAATAAATAAATAAATACATAAATAAATAAATAAATAAATAATAGCAACAAGCATAGTAATAATAGTAAGACTAGTAATACTAGTGATACATAATAATAATACTAATAATAATAATGATCATAATGATAATTATACACAAAATGTAATATTATTATTATAATAAGTAGTAATAATAATAGTAATAATACTAATAACAACACTAATAATAGCAATACTAGTAATAATGGTAATACGAGTAATACTGATAATAAAACAAATCGTCCCCCCGCCCAGTAGTTGTCTGCCATGTCTGAAGACTCCTCCTGTGGAGAGACAGGCCCGACTCGAGCCAGGCCTTCACGCCCTCCGGCAGCCCGTGCCCTTGGTCACCGAGCCCTGCGCGCCTCGGACTGCGCGGAAGCGCGGCCGCCTCCGTGCCCTCGCGCCGCGAACGAGGCGCACCCTACAAGCAAAAAAAAAAAAAACGTGCAGCAAGCGCACACGGGGGAGGGATCGCACAGGGCAGGGCTGCCTGGTGAGGAGGAGGAGGAGGAGGAGGAGGAGGAGGAGGAGGAGGAGGAGGGAGCGCCGAAGGCTGCTTGAGCCAGCGCGCCAGCATGGGCTGGAGCATCCGTGGTCCCCCCCCCAGACATCGGGCGTCTCGAAAAAATCGAGGCGGAGGTTTTTCACAATTTTCGGCCTCTCGGGGGCCCTCGCCAGGCCTCGGGACCGTCAAACAACGACTCGGGATGAAAAACCGGCCCTGGGGAAGTGGTCGGGAGGTCGGGTGCCCGTGTCCCGAAAAAATCGAGACGTCGGATGTCTGGGCCCCTTGGTCCCCGTCTCCCTCGCCGAGCTCTCCCGTGCCCTTGCTAGCCGCAGCCACTGCACGCTTCCTCTACTCAGACACCGGGGGTTGGAGCGTTCTTGTTCCTCGTCCTCCTCCGCCTCCTCCTCCTCCTCCTCCTCCACCTCCTCCTCCTCCTCCTCCTCCTCCCTTGGACCCTGTCGCCCTCGCACAGCCCTCCCATGCCCTTGCCAACACCCCTCGCCGCGACCACCGCACGCTTCCAGTAGCCAGGACGGACTGCGCGCAACTCGGACGGCATCTGCACGAAGCAGGCGGCACCAGTGGAGGGGAAGAGAACGGTGACCATGACCAAGACCGAACGCGGAAACGTCGTGCCGATCTTGGCCACCGTCCATCTCGGTCAAAGTCGAATCGTGGACCATTCCCGCGAATCGCCGGCGGCCGGCATGGACCATGGCCAAGATCGGCGTCGACGAGATCCCGCGACACCTTGCTCATGGTCGCCGATCCTCTCCCCTGCGGGGCAACGATACGGGGGGACTGGCATAGGGGGGGATGCATCGACCTGGAACCGGCGGCACATCGCCGATAGATCGGCGATGGGCCTCCGATCGTGAAGCCGCGCCCTCCTGGGCAGGCTGGGGCTCTCGGGCCCCGATCGGCGATCAGTGGGCGATTGGGGGGGTCGACGCACCCCCCCCCCCCTATGCCTACACCCTGCGAAATGCTTTAGAAATCATGGGCTAAGAAATTCATAGTCTCAGAATTTGAATAAAAACCCAGAGTGTCTAGTCAAATAGTAGGATTTGCATGGAACATTAAGAATAATCGAGACTCTGGCCAAAAACTTGGGTTTTCTTAAGCATCGCCTGGAGTGTATCCCCCCCTATCGTTGCCCCTGAGCCCCTCGAACCGGGAGCCACCCCACTGGACCTCGTGGCGGGCTCGCTACGCGGCCGCGGCCCGCCGGTCCGCCTCCAGCGCCTCCCGCTGGCTGCCCCACGCCTGGGCCAGCATGGCCTTGCCCTCCCGGGACCTCCGCTGCGCCCGGAGGCGGTCCTGCACCATCGCCTGCAGGGCGTCGCTCAGGACCTGCCTCTCCTGGGAGAGGGAGGCCGGGCGAGAGCACAAACCTTTGGCGCCCCGCGCGGGTTCTCGGGATCTGCGCCGGACGCCCCTCCCTGGCGCGCGGAGCGCGCCCGGGGCGACGCCGGAGGCGCCGCTCGGGGGGGGGGGGAGGAGGAGGAGGAGGAGGAGGAGGAGGAGGAGGAGGAGGAGGAGGAGGAGGAGGAGGAGGAGGAGGAGGAGGAGGAGGAGGAGGAGGAGGAGGAGGAGAAGAGAGGAGGAGGAGGAGAAGAGGAGGAGGAGGAGGAGGAGGAGGAGGAGGAGGAGGAGGAGGAGGAGGAGGAAGGAGGAGGAGAAGAGGAGGGCCCACGCGGATCGAAGACATCCGCGCGGAGCGCCAAGAGCTTCTGTTTGTGGCGCTGTTGCCTCCTCGAGCTCCTCGCGGATGCTGCCCCCGCGCTCCGCCTCCCGCCGCCGCTGGCCTGCCTCCATCTGCCTCAGGAGCGCGCCGCAGTGGGCCCTCGCGACGCTGGCGTCCTGGTGGGGCTTCTCCTCGGGCCCCCAGTAGCCAGCGCACCTCCCCTGCTCGTCGGCCGCCTCCTGCTTGCTCTTGGACCTCCTCTCCTCCATCTGCCTCCGCAGGGGGCGGAGGCGGGGGAGGCGGCGAGGCGGCCGCCGTGAGGGAGGAAGAGGAGGAGGAAGAGGAGGAGGAGGAGGAGGAGGAGGTGGAGGGAGGAGGAGGAGGAGGAGGTGGAGTAGGTGGAGGGAAGATGAATCATGAGAATCCGTCGGCCCCCTTGTGAGGCCACCAGGCTATAGGGTGAGGACATGCTGCGCCCTGCACCAGTTGCAGTTTCAAGTCGCCAATGTTACAGTCCTGCCTTCTGCTTCCTACTGTAAACTGTTGAAGTCCGCGCGAGGGGGGGGGGAGCTCCAAACCGGCAAGTCACTACACGCCCAAATCGCGTTGCCTGAATTCCCTGGGGGGGCGTGGGACATGTACAAATACATAAGGTTCGTGCCCCCGAAGCCATAATCCTCCGTAAATTACGCGATGACCGCGCCCCCGAAGCCACAAACCCTGGTAAATTATACATGTCTTGCGCCCTGAGACAACAAACCTAAGCAAATCACGCCGTACCTGCGTCCCCGAAGCCATATTCCCTGGTAAATTACACAATGCTCGCGTCCCCGAGGCAACAGAGGCCATAAACTTTGCAAATCCGACCAGCCCTCTGGGCGTAGGTGGTTTAAGGAATGGCCTCTTCCATCCCCCATTTTCCCCTTCGGAGAGGGGGACCTGGACGGAGCTGGTCACGAGCGGTCAGGGCGCCCAAAACGGCCTCGGCGAAGAAGCCAAAATCATTGGTTTTATTCGGGTTTGGGCCCAATTCGACCTCTTGGGACGGCGACGCTAAAACAAACTCCCCAGGTGGCCCCCAAGAGGACCCGAACCGGCCCCAAGAGGCCCCCCCCGAGGCACCCAAAACGCCCAAGAGCCCCCCAGGACCGCACAGAGACCCCCAAGACGTCCCAAGAGGCCACCAAGAAGCGCCCAAGAGATACCCCAAGAGGCTCCGAGAGGCATCCAAGAGACCTCTGGCCCTTTTGCTTGCCTTCCTCCTCCTGCTCTCTCCTCCTCCTCCTCCTCCTCCTCCTCCTCCTCCTTCTCCTCCTCCTGCTCCTCCTGCTCCTCCTCCTCCTCCTCCTCCTCCTCCTCCTCCTCCTCCTCCTCCTTCTCTTCATCATCCTATTCATCCTCCTTCTCCCCACTCTCTCATCCATCCATCCAGCCTCCTCCTTCTCCCCCTCCCTCCTTCGCATGGTGCGGCCGTCCCCCTTTTTGCTCTCGCACTTCCTTGATCACCTCGACTCGCCTGGACATCGTTTCTGGATGGGCTGGTGGGGATACGCGAAGCGTCTAACATTACACCATACTCGCAAAGCCGAGGCCAAGAGTGCTCCAAGGTGCCCGAAGATGGTTCCAAGACGGCCCATGAGGGCCCCAAGAGGCCCCGAGAGCGCTCCAAGAAGCATCCCGAGAGAGCCCCAAGAGGCAAGCATCGTCGATGTCACGAAGGTTGTTCAAAGATTCTTGCTATTCAACAAGATCCCAAGCCTGCCCCAAGACAGCCCAAGACGCCTCCAAGAGGGCTCCAAGATGGCCCAAGAAACGCTCCGAGAAGCCCCGGGAAGCCTCCGAGAGGCCCCAACGGCCGCCAAGAGGCCCCAAGAAGCGCCCAAGACGCGCCCAAAAGGCGCCCAAGAGGCCCGCAAGATACCCCACGAGGCCCCAAGAGGCCCCCAAGAGGCACCCGCGTCGCCTCCAAGAGGCCCCCGAGAGGCCCCCCCCACGACGCCCCAACACTTATACAAGAGGCTTCAGGCCCACAGCCCAGGCACGGTGGCGGGATGGACCGAGGGCCATTAGGATAGCGCCAACGTCTCCATTTGCGCTGATGATTCCTGTCCGCCCCCGCATGATGTTCCCAGATGCGCCCAGGCAGCGCCGAGACGCACCGACGCGACTCTGAGATATGTTTGCACACACATACACACACATATATATATACACATATATATATATATGTGTGTATATGTATATATATATATATATATATATGTATATATGTATATGTCTATATGTATATACACATGTATTCCTCTTCTTATATTTTGTACAAGCCTGGGCGGGGGGGAAACCCATCCCCCCCCCCAAAACCGGGCTCGCGGGATCTGGGGCTTTGGGGCCCTCCGGACGGGCCTCGAAGCGGCCCCCCGGGCCACGCAGGGCGTCTTGCCAGGCCTTCCCAGCACACCTAGGGCGATCGGGGGGGTCATCGGAGACGTCCCAGAGACCCCGAAGACAGCACAAGAGCGCTCCAAGAGTGACCGACGTGACCTCAAGACGACCCCCAAGAAGCCATCATATCCCCAAAGATCGTCCCGAAACGTCACAATTGGCCTCCAAGAGCACTCCCAAGAAGGCCCCAAGAGGCAAAAATCATTGATTTTCTATGAGTTTTTGGTAAATGTTGGGTTTATCCTTTTTGGGGCTTCCCGACGCTCCAAGACGGCGGTCTTCTGGGCGACCGAAGCCGCCTGGGAGGCTCTAAAATCGCCCCATAACCATTCCAAAGGGCTTCCAGGCAGTCCAAGAGAGCCCAAAAACGGCACAACAGGGGTCCAAGATGGCCCTCAGAGAGCCCCATGGCGGCCCAAGATGGCCCCAAGACACCCTCCGAAGCATTCCAAATCGTGACCCGGTCGTTCAGGGAGACCGCGGTTGGAGGCAGGGCGACCCGAGGAAGCCCCCAGAGGCCCCCAGAACACGCCCAAGAGGCCTCCAGACGGCCGTAAGAAAGCTTGACGTAACTTTTGCGAGGCCCCCAGAGGCTCTCCAAGGAGGAGCCTCCGCAAAAAGAGCCGAGGAGGATGGGGAGAATGCGCAGGATATGGTGAAAATGATGAAGAAGAAGCATGGAGGAAGGATAACGAAAAACATTATTATAGCGGCGATGCCAGCAAAGGCAACAAAGAGTTATCGCTAAATTGTCGGCTCGACCTCCCTGCTATTCCGCTTGCGTACCAAACTTCAAGGACCAAGGTGCATGGCGCGATGCGCCACTGCAGTCGTGTATATATACATATACACACACGCATACAGATCACATTATGATAGTGGGGGGACCGGCGGCAGGGGGTCTAGCCCTTACGGATAAAAGTAGGAAAAGAAAAACGACTCGGCATTGCGCGAGGTCTCATCCTGGGCTTGGGACTCGAGGATCGGCAGATGAATTCCAACCATTAGAAACATCAGAATTGTCGTCGGCGCGGGTCGGCGAAGTCAAGAGGTCCACGCGCCGCGCAGCTCGAAGAACAAACTTCGGGCCGGAGGAAAACGCAACAGTTCCCGTGGGCAGGCGGCGCTTCCCCTCTGGCCTCGACGCCGCCGGGTCCCGCGCCGCTGCGCGCGACGGACGAGCCTCCGCATCGCCCTCCGAACCCAGACCCCCGACGTAATGATTTTTTCATTACGTCGACCCCCAGAGGTCCCGACCCGTTCCCCATGACCAGCTCTGCATCCTGAGTCGTTTTTTGACGCCCCCGAGGCCCAGCGAGGGCCCCCGGAGGCCGACAAGTAGGAAAAAACCCCCCGTCGCGATTTTTGTCATTGCTCGAGGGGGTCTGGGAACACCGACGCATTAATTACGAGGTCGCGCAGGAGCCGGCGCGGGGCCCGCCCACGAGCCGCGGGCCCTGCCCTGACTCCAGATCCGC